TGGGGGGGGGGAGGGGGGCGGAGCGGGTGGAGGAGGAGAGACAAAAAGGCGGGGGGGGAATGGTGGCGTCAGTTCTCGCGAGACTTAGGGCGGCGTCACGGAGGCGAGTTTGAACGGCGCGAGCGGCGGCGGCGCGGGGCGGCCGGGGGGCTGAGGTAGCGCGAGCGGCGGGCGGGGGCTGTAATGTCTGTGGGGCTGTCGCTTCGGTGCTCCTTGTCTGCTCAAGGGCGGCCTCGGGTAGCGGGGCCGAAGGGTTTGGGGAGGGCGGAGGAGAGCCCCGGTCTCTTTTCTCTCTTTTCCTGTGGTTGTATATGCGACTGGTGGCTGTTGGGCCCCTCCCCTGGCCGGGGTCGCGCTGCCAATGGGGTCCCGTTGCCTCAAGTGGGAAAGGCCTTTCTCTCTTCTCTGGCCCCGGGAGGCCCTGTCTCTAGGGAGGGAGAGAGGGGGGAAACCTCTCCTCCTCTGCCCTTTTTGCACTTTTTAACGTGGGTAGGGGGCCTTTCCCGGCTGTAAGTCACTGCCTGAGTGTGTACCGTGTGGACGGGGTTACTTTTAAGAGCCGTGTGCTGGGGTGAGTCGTTTGCTTGTGTCGGTTTGAAGAGGCGTGTGACCATTGGGAATAGCAGTTTAACTAGAACAACAGTTATCAAACAGAAGAAAGAAAGTTTGCAGGCCAGGTGAGGGCTGTTTTTATCTCTTACCCTATCATTTTTATCAAGGAGTGCTTATATGGGTGAATAACCAAGGTCTGGAGCCCCCAGTACAGAATCTGTCACAAAACGTTTGAAGATAATTAGCGCTAAGTTTTGTAACTCTTGGTAGAATAAACAGAGACTGATTTTTGTTCTTTCCCCTCCTACCTGCTCACCTTACTACTGATTTAACTTATCCTCAAACATTACTTTCAGGGTAATTTATTTAACCTTATGTATAATATTAAATTGTAGGCAGTTGCTTTCCTATGTAACTATACAGGTTTAGGAGCAAAACTACTTGGACTTGTCTGAGTAGCATCATCCAGAATTGACAATGAAAAGTTGAGGATGGCTGTGCTCCAAAAGGCTTACTTCCTGTTCTCCATAATAGTCGACAAGGGATGTGTGAATTGCAAAACTTGCTCTTTTCTTCCACACTTTAACTATAAAATAGCCTAAGATCTCTTTTTATATTCTCCAGTAAATGATTTATTAAGGGCTCAAAGATGTTGTGTGTGAAACTGGAGGACAGCATGCAAAAGAGAGTGAAGAAGTAGGAGGGAGCAAGACAAAAATCCTCAAACAGCCCTTGAAAATTACATGTCTGCTAGAAGAAGGTGACCCTGGTTGTAGGCTGTTTACTTGCCCCGCAGACCAATTGCAGAGCATCTATCCTTTGGCAACTTTGCCTGATCTGGCTGTTTCTAAACTATTTGACAGCTGCCTCAAATGAGATTTGAATAAGATTTGCATTTCTGTGGGGTTTTAGCTTGTGATCTGCATTTTCATGAGAGAGCCACAGGCGTTAAGCCCTTTCAGAAAAGGACTGCTGTGAAGGACTGCACTAGAATCGCAGCTTATACTCATCCGGACTAGACAACTGTTGCTTTTTTTTCCTTTTCAAGGTGGGGTACAAGAATAAGGTCAAGAAAAACTTAAATGGACTTCTGAAGGTGAGTTAAAAATGTTTCTCAAATTTTATTTATTAAGCTAGGAGCAATCAAACTGCTATGTTGCCTCTATATTGTTTGATGAGAAAATAAAGCTGTTTTTAAAATCCTTTTTATAAAGTGAATAAGGATTAATTCCTTCCCCTTGCTAATACAAAAGCATACCAGGAGTGGTTGGCTGTATGCTTGTATTGCTGCATCTTACTGTTAAACGTTTCAGGATTACATTGTACTCAGTGTACGTGTTCTTGCACTAGGAATAATATTGTTGATTCTTAGTTATAGGTATGCAGGTTCCTGTCTTTCACTGGCTTATTTTAGTATAAGTGTGCAAAACTAGTATTTCAGGCATTGCAGTGGCTTGATGTGAAAAACTGAAATTTCAGAGCCTGGCAGGATAAAGTCTCTTTGTATGTGTTAAACTTGAATAACAACAAGGGATGGGAAATGTGAAAAAAAGAATCTGATAATTTCAATGTTGTACCTCTGAAAGGAACAGCACAGTGTTGGCATGATCTACTTTTGCATGTTCAATTTTTCTTTTTCCCTTTATAGGAAGTTGAGTCACTTCACTAGGAGTTATCCATGTTGAATGAAAGTTTGAAAAAAAAAAAAAAAAGGCGAAGGGTGAACATTCCAATAAGGACTTGTAAAAATAATCTCTCCTGTACTGAGCTGTGAAATTTGCTTGAGTAAGACGAGCATCTCGCTAATGTTCATAAGAATAATGTATGTGCCACTAAGAAATGGCAACAACTAAATTGTTTCTGTAATTAAAAAAAAAAAAAAAAGGTGAAGGGTGTACATTCCAATAAGGACTTGTAAAAATAATCTCTCCTGTACTGAGCTGTGAAATTTGCTTGAGTAAGACGAGCATCTCGCTAATGTTCATAAGAATAATGTATGTGCCACTAAGAAATGGCAACAACTAAATTGTTTCTGTAAAAAGAAAAAGTACAGAATAAGATTTTCAATGAAGAATTACTTTAGTCTTGAAATTATAAAAATTATGAACCCAGAGTTTGGAAAATCAACTGCAGAGTTTTTGTATTTGTGTATGATTGTTACTGCGTACTTTCTGAGAGAACTCTTGGCTTCTGTTGTTCAAAAGTCTGAGTTGCTTAGCAATTTCTGTCTTAATAGGATTTATTTTTTTACAGTGTGCGAACTTAGTAGATTTGGGAGCAGGCAGTCATACAAGCTTATGATGTTAGTTTGACTTACAAAATATTTTAAAAAATAAATATTTTCTTTGAATTTATTTTGACTAACGCTTTGCAAAATTCACCTTTACTTATGTTTTCTGTTATGATATCAAGATAGAAATGGATGAATTTTCTGAAATGTGAGAAAGACATGGTTATTAACAAGTTACCTGCAGTGACTTGAGTTTAAAGTGGAAAGGTCATGAAAGACTCCATTAAGCACTTAAAATAAATAAAAATCCCTGTGTTAAAATTCCATCTATTTTAACAGGGGTTCTATTTTTGACTCTTTCCTTCAGGTACCTTTATCTGTTTCTGTACCACACGTAATGTTATTAGGAGTAAACTATCCTACTACAGCTGCCTACATGAATCTCAAGTGTTATTTCTGTACACAAGAAATGCTATACTTAGTGTGGCTTTATTTATACTACCACAGAACATATTTTCAGCCATATGGTGTGCATAAAAGTGTTTTTTCCAAGAGTATTTCCTATTCTTCTCTTGTATATGGCAAGATATCTATATACGAGTTTAACTGGGGTTCTAGTGTGCTAGGAAACTGGCCTGGTTACACAGGGGTGGTTTTGCTGTACGCTATTTGTTAAGATATAATCAGGAATAAGATGTTAAGCATGTTAATGGAGAAATAGCTATTATTTTACTGTTCACGGGACTGTTTCTTCATGAGCTACCTTTTTTTTTAATCCTTGTATTAATGCAAAAATATATCTTTGTATCCTGATTAAGAAAGGAAATCCCATAACTTCTTTTAGATTAACTACTGTAATTTACTGCAATATTTTTTTTTATCGTTTTGTATTTGCAATGTTGAAGTAGCAGAAGGAAGAAAAATGGAGGCAGAGACCATTTTAAATCTTAGAAACCAACTCAAGGAAGCAGAGAACGAGCGAAGAAAGGCAGCACAATATGGCTTGCATTTACTGGAGTCCCAAAGTGAAGTTCAAAATCAGCTGGATCAAGCACGCCATGAGCTGACTGAGAAGACTGAGGTGATGTTTTAAGCTTCAAGTATAAAAGCAGTCGAGAACTTTGTTTTAACTATTTTCTGAGTGTTACGGGTGTTCTCAGTGCCTTTTAGAGTTTAGATTAATCTTAATAAACCTTTGTAGCTTTTGTAGAGAGGGCTTTTAATCTCTGCTGTAAGATATTGAGCATAATTTTATCTAACTGGGACAGGGTTTCATAGCTAATTATGTGTCGTGTTTAGTACCATGTAGGATTAATTGTCTTTAATGTAAAATGAATAGGAAGTGCTAAAGTAATATACAAAATAAAGTAATTCTAAATTTCTTTTAGAGCATGTGTTTTGGGTATGTTTAGCAATTTATTCATATTATGCTCTCCCTGCAAGCTTTTATAGCTTAGAGGTGCATAAATAATGCTAGCAGTGAAACTGTAAAATTGATTCCTTTTGTAGTGAATTTATTAGTACATTTCTTTATAGCTCAGAACAGACTGTAGCGTAGAGTTGAAATACAGATATATTACTTAGTCAACCAGTTTTCTTCTTAGTAATTGTTAAAGAAAATTCCAAGTGGGAAAATCTCTTCCACTTTTCATAAACACTTTAGTTTTGATGTTGGTTTGTTTTCAGTCAGCCCATGCTTCAGATATACCATTTCTCTTCATTTAGTCTTTCATTTTCCATCTCTGCATCCACCCCTTCTTTTGTGATAGAGCAAAAATGTTTGTGATTCTGTTGCAGGGTTCTGGCTTTTTTTAGCAGCTGGAGAGTTGTAACACTCTGCTGTTCCGAATGACCACTAATAACTTATTTGATCAGTCTGCTGTTAGTGAGCTTAGTGCAAGAGAAGTGGCTGGAAAGCTCCTGTGACAAGGAAGCCAGGGCAGGATCATCCTCTCCTGTGGACAACCTGAGGCTGTAGCTGCTGTGTTGTCCAGCTGCACCCATAGGTTGTAATCCTGTGTTATAGGCTGGAGCAAAGTTATTAACTAAGCTTGTGTGAACCGCATCAATTGATACCTTAGATTCCAAGGGTGGGGGTAAACTCTTTTTAACCCTTTAACCCTTTGTAATTAACAAACATACACAATCAGTCATAGAGAGAAGCTGGTTGAAAAGTCATTCTGTGGTCTGGAAGGGTTGAGGAAACAGGAGACAATTGACATGTCTTCGCTAAACATCAAACTGACCTGTTCTGCTGTAGGGGAACACTTGATGGACTGTAACAGTTTCTACATCAATCAGGTTCCATGGTGGTAGAAAGGACATGTAAGCCCTCTCTAAATTTCTTCATTAAACTTGCATAAAAGATGCCCACATCCTTCATGTTTGGGCAAAGAAATACACAGTTTCCATGGAGACGAGCATGTTAGGCAACCAAATAAGTCGTAAAATTTCATAGCAGCTTATGGTTTGTTTGGGTTTTTTGTCTTAAAACATGAATATGACAATTCCCTAATTGGGACTGCAACAAAACGTTGAACGAGCTACAAGTTTGAGGCATTTAGCATCCTGGTTCTGAGCCTGTATTTGGTACATTATTTTGCACCATTTATGCATATTACAAGTAGATTTATTAGTATGTTATTTCTTTCAGAAATTTGAACAAGAAAAATACACTCTTCAGAGAGAAATTGAACTCAAGAATCGAATGTTGGAAAACCTCAGTTTTGAATATGATTCCCTTAAGCAACAGCAAAACGTGCAACTGGATAAACAGAAAGAACAGCTTGCCAGATTCTATGGACAAGAAATCGGTGACCTTAAAAACAAGGTTTGGCAGCTAATGTACAGCTCAAATGTTGCTAATAGCATTTTAAAGAGTATGTATTTTACTCATAATGGCACAGTTATTACCAAAGCAAATCTCATAAATAGTTGTAATATGTAGAAGCTTGGGTGGTTGGTTTTTTAACAAACATCTGCATCATTACATTGTGAATTACAGTAAATTTCAAAGCTTATTTTGTCTGTAATTAAAATAGAGTAAAAGGTCTTGTGCTTTTCAAAAGTTTATGATAAAATGGTACTACTTAGTTGTCAACTGTCTTTAAGTTGGAGGACCTGAAAGCAGAACTAGATGAAACCCGACTCTCAGAGAAGCAGTTGAGACACAAAGTGGATCATCAGAAGGAAATAATTGCTGCCAAATCAGAAGAGCTACGAATGATGTCTGAACGTGTACATGAGACCATGTCTTCAGAAATGCTCAATCTACAGATAGAACTCACTGAACTAGAAAGTGTGAAGGTGTGTGACTAGTACTTCGTTATTAGGAATGTAGGGTTGTTGAAGATAAAACTCTGCACTTTCACTAATTTATTTTCAGATGCTTTGTGTATATTGCTACCTCATGATTGACTTGCTATTGAGAAAATATGCACAGAAAAAATAATAGCCTTAATAACAAGACTTTAATACAACCTTTACTTTAAGATAATATTGTGTATTAAAGGTCATTATTGCTAAAACCTGTTTGGTTCACTTGTGCCTGCTTTTCTTCAAATTGTTTTAGAAACTTTTTATTTTCTACTTGTTTTTTTTTTATTTAGGCCAATGTTGAAGAAAAGCTGAATGAACTGCAGTATGGTAAAGAACAATTAGAACTCATAAATTGTAACTTACGTAATCAGCTGGAGCGTCTACAGAGAGAAAAAGAAGAAAGGGAAAAAGAAGTTGTTTCTTACTGTAATGCATTAGAGGTATTCTCCTAACTTTATTCAATGGTGGTTTGCATGAGCTGTGCTGGCTTTTCAGTGAAATACAAGCAGTTTTGAGATAGGAGTTCTGAGGAGGGAGAAAAACAGGATATTGGCTAGTCATGTTTGCTGTCTCCTGTTGCTAAATACTCTCTATATTGGCCGTCTTTTGTGAAAGGCTCTGTAAGGAGATCCTTGGCATTGCAATATTCTGCCTTGTAACAGTATCTTCTCACAGGTCACTGATATAATTCTCATTTTTATTTGAAGTTCCTGCTGAATGCCTTGGAAAAATTTGTGGTGGGGAGTAGAGGATTTGTGACTGACTAGCACAGCAAGGCTAAGAGTCTCAATACCATTAATCCAATTGATAAACATCAACGTTTTCCTTTAAAAGTTTTAGTAATGCTCTTGTTCTAAAGAACAGGTGGAATATTAAGCCTTTTAGTGAAACAAAATTGACTCTCTCCTACTGACTAGAACTGTGTGCATAAAGTACAGCAGTAAAAAATAATCTGTGCTAAAGGCTTAGGAGATGAAAAAGAGGTAAACTATTTGATTAACTCATATATACAGTGCATCAGCTGCTTAAATGACTAATATCCTCTCTGCTTTAATCTAGAAAGCTCGTGAAGCTAATCAAGAGCTTCAGGTTCAGCTGGATCATGCAGTGCAGCAATCTTTGGACCCTACAAGTAAAGGCAATTCTCTCTTTGCTGAGGTACAATCCCACAGATCTAAGAATGTACAGAGGAGAGGAGAAATACTTTTATTTTTTTATAAGTAGTTTATTTCTTACAGTAGAATTTCTAAGTAGTTTTGTTCAGCTGGTGAACGTTCTTTAATGCAGAAGATAGCATCTTTTAATATTTCACATACTGATAAATGCTGTCTTTTAAAAACATGCTGAAAATGGCTGGATGTTTGAGCATTTGGGAGGGTTTTTGGTTTAGTTTTTGAATATGAGTTCAGCTGCTGTTAAATGCATAGGAAGTTATTTTGTTTTGTGACAACACCCAGGGAGTGGGTTGGTACATATTTTATTTATTTTTTTAAGCTATTTGTTTTGATGCCAATGGACAAAACTACTCTGCAGCAACACTGAAGCATATGAAATGTTATCTTATTTCGATATTGAAGGAATAAAACAAAAATCTGTGGCACTTTGATTGGGCTTCAGCTGCTACAGCACAGTCTACTCGCTTTCATCTCAGAGCTAATGACAATAGCATGTATTTTCAAGTACTGTTCCTTGCAGTATTTGCAGAACCAACCTCGATTGCTAAGCAACATCTCCTTGTAAAATTCATCATCCGAGTGACAACAAGTGTGATAATTTTCATAGTAATAATTGTTAACAATGTTCTGTAGGTGGAGGACCGTAGGGCAGAAATGGAACGACAGCTGATCAGTGTGAAAATAAAATATCAGTCACTACAAAACCAGCATGCATTCACTAGAGAACAATTGCACAGAATGAAGGTATGACCATTACTGTAATACTCTAGGGTTTCCTTAGGGTCTGATAAGACAGTGCTTTCGTACCCAGGCTAGGGGATTGGATTATCTTTAGGATATGGTACAGTAGTCTGGGGGGAGGGAAATGGGATGAAAAAGCAAGTGAGATGTCGTGGTGCTATTTGACTTCTAGGGTACGTCAGCATCTTTCTGTTGCTACTAGTGCTACTGCTTTATCCTAGAACTCCAAGTTATACCGAAGGCACTGTCTTTGCTTACTTTGGCTGTAGTTCTTAAATGGATAAGAGTAAACCACAACTCCTGTCAGCCAAACTACCACTCAATTTGTCTTGACAATTGCTTTTTCTTTTCTTGTTGAATTCTTGTACTATGGGAATGTTGGTTGTCAGGAGTGAATGTAAAGAAAAGGGCAGGCTTGTACTCTGTCCTCTGATCACACTGGGTTTTTTCTTTTCTTTGGGTTCCTTTCTTGGCTTTTTCTTTTTTGGTTTATTCATATTTTTCTTTCTTCTCCCTATCTTAGTGAAAGAATAAGTCCTAACTCCTTCATTTAGACTACACTTCCATAGAATGGGAGCTTGTTTGTAAATAGTGTTGAGAACTAGTTAGCAGAAGTTGATTTACAAGATAACGTTAAGGGGATGCTGCAAAGCTGCCAGCTGTTTTCATGTCGGCGTTATGATTTGGCAACACAGAAGTGGATCCTTTCATTTTGGTCGAATACTTGATCATGTGGTTTGAGGAAAGTGCTTAAATGTCACAAGTGATGCTAATGACTGACACTGAAGATACAGTTTGTGTTACTGAGCATTTGTGGAGAAGTAGGTTTGAAAAAAAATGAATCAAATTTCTTAAAGGACAAGAAAAGAACCTTCTGATGTAGCAAAAGAATTCTCCTTTAGTAAAGTCTGACCTTTAGAGCTAAAGATTTGAGTGACTAAAATGATTGAATAGGGTTGGTTTCTTGAGAAATTTTCTTTCTGTAACGTGAGGGCGAGTCAGTCATCCTGATTTAATGGTGGTATGGGAAATATTCCTTATAGTGAAGGTTTTTATCAAGAACTGAGACAAATTGACATCCCTGTTATATTACTTAATGGGTTTATTTGCAATTTCAATTTTTACTCATTTGTCCCCATAAAATTTCTTCTAATATCAGTATTGGAGATGGGTAGTTTGTTAGGACAGCTGTTTTGCTTAAGCTGCCATCTTAGACCCCTGTGAGGATCCTCTCTGCTTTGCCTTGCGTTGTGATGCTGTGTGTTAAAGCTCTATCTACAGTTAGCTGATCTCTTCCCTCAGCAGCTGATCCCAACAGAATAGATAACTGTTGTTGCAGCTTTAGTTGTCAGAATATCTGAATTGTAGTATTTACAGATAAGAATATCTGACTCGACCTAAGCAGTACTCCTGGGAAAGTTTTACTATGTCTAGTAGATTTTCCCTAGTATCTCTTCCAGTTTTGTCATGTTTCTGTTCTTGGTTCCTATGCAGATCAACTGCAATTTGCAATTCTGACAGTGAGTGGGCTTTTAAGTGAAACAGGAGAAAGTTAGGGGTCTACATGCTTGGGAAATGTCAAGATATTTTTAGTCAGCTAGTGGGGGTTAAAATTTTGCCTTCCTGAGACAATTGAATCTTTCTTTGGCTCTAGTTTGTGTAAAGAATAATTAATATCCTTCACTTGACATAGGAGATTCCATAGGGTAAATGCTCTTTCTCCATTTCTCTGTTAATCTATAGTTTCACTTGATCCTTTCCCTGTGACTTCTCTAAGTGTCCTACAGTGTTACCTTCTCCATACTGCCTAGACTGGTAAAAATGCTACAGTTATCACTGACACCGTTAAGTCTTTCCATTGTGTTTCATATTTTTTCTCCATTTTTTTTTTTTTTGACTTGTAAGGGGACTGTATGAAGCTTCTTAAAGACTATAGGCTGTATATATTTATTTCTATTCTAAAAAGATAATAACACTTGGAATGTTTTACTGGACTATTTAGTTGAGATGTGTTCTTTGGCTAGTGAATTCCCTATCTATCTATCAATCAGAAACTCCATGGTGTTTGGCCTCAGGACCCCTTTTGAGCCCTCAGATGGAACTGCTGCACTTCCAGCAGGAGGCAATGGTCTGCTCTGGGAATTCTGGAGAAGTCTGTCACCTCAGGGTTGTTGCTGTTATGAAAAGCTGGTGTGACCCAAGTCCCTTAGGATTGCTGAGGGACAGTGATTCAGTGCTTATGACGTGGAAGTTAATGGCCTCTAAAATAGAGGCAGGGACATTCACTTAGTATTAACACAGTTAGTTTTACGTGGGTCATTTAGAATAAGATCTTTGTGTAAAGCTTCTATTGTCAGTTATACAAGTAGTTACATTCGTTTATATACAGGCTAGAAAAACCCCAATGAAATAGTCAATTAGTAAGTTAGAGAAGGTTTTTCACACCAGTTACGTATGCATATGTGCGTTGTTCAGCATACAGCTTTGGTTTTAACAAGCACTCTGTCTCTGGTAGCTGGACTCGCTGCTCTATGTCAAGTTCAAGTGAAAACTTTCATTGTAGTGGAAGAGGTCTCTTGGTCTCTGATTCCTACTTGTGTAGTAACACAGATTTTGTGCGGTCTCTGAATTCTTAGTTGACTTTGTATCTGCTGCTTTACTAAAAAAAACCAAACCAAACAAAAAACCCCAAACCCAAACAAAAAAACCCAAGTCTGAGTAACTGTTTTTTTTTTTTTTCCTCCCACCCCAGTAAGGAAATTGAAACCTTGAAAAATGAACTATCCTTGCAGAGGATGAAAGCTCTGCACGAGAGCCAAAGGGCTCTGGAAGTGGAAAGGAAACTCTTCACAAATGAGAGACATTTGCAAACTTGTCAGAGTGAGAATATGAACTTGCGAGTTACGCTGGATGAGCTAAAAATGAAATACGAACCTGAAGGTAAATTTTACTTTTCCATACGGGGGGGGGGGGGGGAGGAATAAATACCTGATCTTCTCAGCCTTCAAGTTGAATGACATTAAACAGGAAGGCATTGGGTTAGTTCCAGTTATCAACTAATGTGTAAATGGCTGCCTTTTTGATAATAACCTGGTCAAAAAACTGCTGAACTGAAATGGTAAGGCCCTACTTTGGTGAAGGCCCTTACTTCAATGTGTATAGTTGCATCATTTCAAAAGACTAAGGGGTACAAATTCTGGTGTTGAGAGGCTTTACAGAGTATGGCGAGATCACCACAGCAAAGGAGGTGGGAACAAATTCTCAGGAGGTGCTTTTTATAATGGTAGCAGCATCTCTCTGCTGATGAAAAATATCAGCTTTCTGAATGTAGGCAGCTGATACGAGCTTTGTAATAAGTGCAAAGCATTTAGAGGAAAAACTTTTTAGTAGCTCAAGGTAATAAGGATTAAGTTTTGGCAACAGAGGCCCAGCTGGAAAACGGCCGATACCTGGCCATGTGCAGAACCAAGGGAGTTGTAGCCTGTGGAGGAAGGTGAATGGGGAGGCAGATGGGTGGATTTTGGTTCTGGTACTTGTCTGTACCCTAAGAATCTAATTTTAAGGTCTAAGTTGTGGAAGCTTACGTAGGCAGCCTCCAAAATGGGAACAAAATAATTGAGCTTATTCATGTAGTTCGGAGCATCTAGTTAAAAACCTTGGGAAAAAGGTAGAGTGGATGGAAAGAAAGATTTTTGTCTCTCTTTCAAGCTAACTTGGGATGCTGACAGCAGATTATATGAAAAGGCGTTCTTTAAGGGATATAAGTTGTCTTATTATTATTCCAAGGTCTTTAGTCATGTGAAATGTTCCTTAATTAGTTTCATTATATTGGTGAACAAGCCACCTCCAGCTTCACTTGCATACAGGAAGTGTATTCCTTTTTTCTTAGAATTACTTAAAGGCACAAAAATTAAAAAGAAGAAGGAGAAGATTCCAGTGGATGCTACTTGTGAATACCTGGACAGTAAAAATACTTCAGTAAAAGAAGATGCTCTCACTGAATTGCCAAGTAAGGAAGAAACTAAGATGACTTCCAGGGACTTGGAGCAAAGTGGTACTTCTCCAAAAAAGCAAGCTCTTGAAGCACCGCCAATGAACATAGGTCTTCAAGCAATGCAGAAAGTCATTGAACCTGTAAGAGAAAGAAAGAGAGTTAAGATTAAAGATGAGAATCATGATGCCTTTACTTCGTGTAGCAGAAGTGGAAATAGTTCCTTAACTTCAGCTGCCTCCAGGTCAGTGTCAGCTTCTGTCTATGGTCAAGGCAATCAGCACAGACTTGCGTCTCTTTTCTTTCGCTGCATGAACTGTGCTATCCACTTCTTTATCTATTTCCTCAGTATTGCATGCAGTGTAATTCCTCAGCTCCGGCTGCCTACATTGAACCTCTTCGTACCTTTTAGAAAGACTAAAATGATGACTCATGAAAAAGACTCTTGAAACCATAACCATCTTTGACATACTTTTCCCCTTGGCGATGCTGAAGGTGTGCAGATGGCGTTACAGCTCACCTAGTTTGCTCTCCTCAGAAACAGGACTGCTTTCTTGGTCCCTTCAAAGCTGCCACACAACTCTCTGATATATCAAAGTAGCAAAGGCAATAGGTATCGTGCTTCATTTTCACTTGACACTTAATTCCAGCCCTCGTCAATTTTCAGATGCAGCTAAAAGCCTAAAAAATATTTAAATTAAGTAGTTTTTAAACTGAATTGGGTTAACAAACTTTGTGTTGTACAAGATAATAGACAATTAATTATGCTATCTGTGTTGTCAGACAATTGACTTCCATAATCTGGATGCACGATAACTAGAAACACAACTGCTAAACTGAGATCAAGTTTTTCCTCTGAATTGAGAATTTAAGTTAATTTTTGATAGGTGGTAAAGTAACTCAGTACAGTAATTAGCTCCAACTTTTTGTCTTGGTAAAAAGAATGCTGATGTGGTTTTTTTTCCTGCTGGTGCTTTTTTCTGTTCGTAATCTTATTACACACATCTTCAATGCTGGGGGAGAGGGAAGGGAAAAAAAAATCTGTGACAGTCTACTCGCTAATGTCTGCCAGTAAAAATAGTTTATTGAGTCTAGAACTCCATCAGGGATGGAGGAAGGCTTAACACATGGCAATCTGTACGATAAATCCAAAACTAATGGCTTTCAGAAGTAATTGGATTGATGTTTTGACTCTTGGATCAATTATTCAAGGTTGCATTGGATGCAATTAACTGGTTTAAAGTAACTAAACAGTACAATCTCCTGAAATAGTCTGAAAAGAATACGGCAGGAATAGCAGTTGAAGTAGCTCTGGGAAAATATGCAGGGGCTGTTGCTGAAGGAGGAAAGATCAGGAACGTGGTGAAAGTTGAGAGGACAAATAGGGTGATGTTGCATTTTGATGGTGTTGTGTACACAGAGGAACAGAGAGCATGTAACCTGGGTGTGAAAAGTTTAACTGTGTTTCTTGTATTCCTTTTGGAAAGGAAGATACAGTCTCTGCCAACAGGAACTTGTTGGAAGCCGTTTGTGAACTGAAGGGGTAAACTTGCCAGAGAGAGGGTGAGGGGAGGAAATGGTTTGATGGGATTGACGTTTGAAAGCAGAGCAAGTGGGAAAGGTGGAAGAGGAAGATGAAGTCATGCTTCAGAGGGAGGCTTCTCATCTTGCACTCATTGCTGTTCAAATAAGTAATAAAACATGAATTGATAGATAATAAAAAATAAAAATCACCAACACAACAGAAAAAACCTGCCACAAAACTCCATGTGAGCTTTTAAGTTTTTCCGTGGTAGTATAAACCTGTAAAAGCCAAATCCAGGCAGAAGGTTCTGTTTCTGATTGTTAATGAACTACTAAGTCCCCAGTTAATAATGTTATTAAGATAACATTGGGGATTTACTTAAATAATCTGTTAGGATTTATTATGAAGTCATGATAAAATCTGAGCATTTGAGAGGTTGGGTTTCTAAACACTAAAAGAATCCCTGGACTGTTGTGTGATGGATGTGGCCAGACCCTGTGTAGGGATACAGCTAAATGCAAAGGCACAGGAGAGATTGGCAACTTGAGTGGGAATGTGAAAATGCAGAGTTTGGGACACGAGAAAATAACTGGCATGTGCACGGTGGATGATTGTCAGCGTTTCACTGCCTGTTAAGTAAAATGTGATGCTCTGGCTGGAAAAGCTGTTGTGGTCATTGGGGGTTGGTTTTCTAACTGGAGCAGTTCTTGTGCAGTCATTAGTCTGGCTCTGTCACTGTTGGTCCATGGAATGTGGCAGTGAAAAGAGCCCTAGTAACTGGGAAAGGATTGCAACTTCATTTCTAGAAAATGGTGTTGGAAAAGCTTTGTCAGCTTAATTTAGGATGTGGTGAAGAAGTGGTCAGAAGTGAATAGTGTGTACTTGTGTGGGTGAGAGGTGCCCTTGGCCGAAGAGTCTTGCTTGCTAATGGGATTTAGCAAGGTAAAGCTGGGTAACTTTGAACTCGTAGCGTATTATTATGTCCGCACTGTGTGTGTGTGTGTGTGTGTGCTTAGAAAGGTTTAAAGCAAGTAAACACTGGAATACTTTATGAGGTGATGGTATCAATTAGCTCATGGTATGTGAGCGCTGAGAACATCGTATTTAAGATGACAGATTACACTATTTAAGCAATCATTATTAATTGTTAATTGCTATTGTAATTCAGGCAATGCAAGGGTTGTAGGTAGTGATACCTTCTTTTAGGCCAACTGGTCAATAGAAAGATACACTTCTGTCTTGAAATGCTTTTCTTTACTGCTGAAACAGAAATAGCATTTTCCAGCCCTTGCTGCCCAATGTAGTTTGCTTTTAGATTTGAGGTTGTCTGCTTTAGTTTGACCTAAAGAAGGGCTTGCCTGCTGAAAAGCTTATTTGCTCTTCTAAATTATGTAGTTGGATTACGCTGCCAAATCTACCTCATTTGGACTGTTGGAAGAGGAAACGCCTGTAGGCATTTGGCTCAGCAGGAGATCTGGATAACTAATACCCTCATTGGGGTTGTAGACACAGCATTCATCCTCAGGAAGTAAAGCTCCATCTGATGAGACTAGTTACCTTCCTTAAATGGGTAGAAGGAACCTCCCATTACATCTCATTTTTGGAGTCGATGTAGTCAAAGCTGGATAGAATCATGTCATAGTTTCACAAGCATTTTTTTTTAAGTGGACATGTTTAATGTTAATGGATCTCTTTTTGATCCATTCATTTCCCTGAAATCCACAGCAAAGTGGATTTCTCTGAAAGTCTCCTGAGAAAGTGCTGATAGGAAATAATATGCAGATTGCTGGCCATGGGTTATAGGAGTCTATTGGATATATTTGTGTGTAAAGATAGACTGGGGGGGCTGGGTGATCTATAGCTAAATTTCCCTAAACAATTTCACTACAGCTCCTTTCGTAGCCCTCATCTGCAGCTGCATCTCTATATTGCAAATGAATCTCCAACAAGAATAGCAGCAGCTCTCGGTGTTTGGAAACCCATCACTGATGGCAGCTGGAGATGGTTGTGGGTTGCTCACTAGAAGCTCTTGAGACCACTTGAGATCCAGTGAGAGTTGCTTTAACAGGTGTGGTGGTGAATTGGCAGAAAATTTGTGTTGGTATGTGAAGTGATGCTTAATTTGCAACTTAATTTTCCATAATTAGTTTTCCTGTGGAAATAATAATGTGCAATAGCCAACTGGTTGTGGTGATTTGGTTAAGTAAATACCACTATTTATCAATTTGTTCTAATGATGCATTTTAATGCTTACTAAATAACTCTTAAATACTCAAAACATCTGATTGTGCTCAGATGTCTAAATCTTGTTTTAACTTACCTCTTTAACAGCAACGTGGCAATAATATTGTATTCCCATCTGTATCCCTCGTGGAATTAAAACATGTCAGTGGACAAATTGTGTAATTTAGAGCCTGAAAATAAGTTTTTTCCAACAACTTTACAGTTTTCCAGGCGTTAAGGTAAAGGCAGTAGCAGTGCAGAGCTAGGTTGGAAACTAGCATGTAGTATGTATTGCTTTAAGTGTAGTCCTTCTTTTTGGTTGTGTTAAAGCAAAATGCTTGACTTCATTATGCTTGTGTTATGGTGCTGGGGCTTCGCTTGGAGTTGTGCTTTTGTGGACTCGATCTCATCTATGTGCAGAGCAGTCACTGCTTTCTTTAAGGGCTGATCCCGAGGACTTAACACATTTTGAAAGGTTGAAACTCCTTTTTACCAACCATTTCAGCAGATAAGGTGGGGGTGAGGGCAGGGAAAGGCTATACTTTAACTGATGCAATGTGAGTAGGACTGATAAAAACAATCCTTTGTTTGAGTCTCATTTTATTCTTAAACACTGCTTGCTTGCTCTGTCTTTCCATGTGGATGCTCCTGTATGACAGCGGGCTTGTTGATTTTTGCTTAAAACTCTTCTTTCATTCCTGTTTTTTATTAACTAAATATGTATTTAGAATGGTTGCTTTGCCTGTAGGTTAACAGCTGAATCCAGCTTTGAAACTACGGATAACGAAGAGAAGAAAGAAAATAAAATCATGACTGAGAAGAAAACAGAAAAGAAAAAATATACAACATTATATGTATCTTCTAAGCCAACTCCTGAAACACAATGTGCTCAGCAATAGAACTTGTATTTTTTCCTGGAAGGAACCTGAACAATTTGCAGTCCTGTTTCAGCAGGAAATACTGAGTTATGTGCAGGTTCCTGACTTAGATATTGTTCTGCCTTGTTGAATGAAGAGTATGATCACATTAATGAGATTTGCACTCTTGATCAGTTCCCAGAGAGCACGTGTAAGGTTCCTTGGCAACATCAAGTGCTGCCTTGTCTTGAATCTGGGTGAAGTCTCTTAACAGATGTTAATCACTATTAGTTTGAAGCACAGAGCTATTGAGAAAGGAGTGCTTGCTATGGAAGTTTTATTATGCGGTAAGTCAGGAGTCACCCCTGAGCAAGACAGACAGTGTTGATGTGGGACTCAGCTGAGTCGTGTGCTCCTGAATTTCTTCCAGTTGCTGGATTTGGAATTCCTAACATTTGTCCCTCTACTGTGTAGCTGTTCACTTTTCAGACTGACCTCATTGCAAAGGCACATCTGAATCTTTCAATGTGTTTTGTGGATAGTATTCCTTTAAAACTTTGTAAGTTCTTGTATTTATGCTAATAGTTAAAATAAACCTTTCTCTTCTGTTCTAAAATATAGTCTATATTGCATTTGAGTCAAAACATTTATCTAAAGCTGTCAGTTTTTGAGACGATGTATTTTGTACAAAGGATTTTGTTTTTCTAAAAAAAATTACCACTCAATAAAAGCTAAGAAAGTGTTACGCACGTGCTGTGTGTCGTCATGGTTTTAGGAGACAAGTCTTAATGTCTTAACTTCCTGATGACACTTGAGGCAGAAGAATGGTGAGGAGAGCACTTAAGCTACTTTGATTAATAATAATGAAGTCTACACAAATTTATTTCCTGGTAACTTCTAAGATATTCCACGATATTATGGGAAGCAAACATGTATCCGTGAAATAGTTCTTGTTTTTCTTGCCTTTGACCACACTTGTCGTGGGCACACTGCCACACTTGTGAACTTAAATAATACTGCATGGAAGAAATTGTGCTTTTCATGCTACAAAATGTTAGAAGAACCCTTTCTTATCCAAATGTTTTTAGTTTTGTTTAATGTCACTGTACATGGAGACATAAGTAGCATAAAACGAGAAAACAGAATTGTTTTATTTAGGGGAAGACCTTCAGTAACTTGACATTAGATGTATGTACTTTAAATGGGAGTTCTGAACTGCTGATTGTCTGCTAACAGTTAATTATTTATGTTGAAGTGCTTGACAATATGAAATTTCTAAATGTGTATTTTTAGTTGAAGTAACTTATTAATGCTACAAACAAAACTAGAATGTCATTTCAACAAGTGAATGAAACTGATTCTGTCCCCAAAACCTACTGCTTTTCTGGAATTTTCTTAGAGTGTGTAGTTCATCAGCTTGGCTGATAGATGTGCTTAGAAATCTCTTGCAGAATTGCAACTATTGGGTGGGGAAAGATGTCTGGATTTGAGGGCTTTTGTTGGCCATAACACACTTAAGGTATTGTTCTTTATGTGCGAAAATGGAATAGTTTGCATATTTTTTTTTCCTTCTGTTTTGTTGCATCAGTTACTTTCCTGAAACTGCACTTGCAGAATAGAATTCAGAGCCAGGTAAATGCTTAAACCCTGCTGTATAATGGAAGTTACCAGAGCTAAAAACTGATTATTGGATAGTCAGTGTTGTGTAAGATCTTCTTTTCTGGAATTGATAGCAACATTAAAAGTTCTCTCCCTTCTTCCTCTGCCTGCGCTCCAGCCTCCCAAAAGGTAAGTTGTGCCCATGAGGTCCCTGGGCAGAAAGATTCTTGCATTCTGAGAAACAAGGAATTTTCTACTTAACTGTGAAGACCTTCTGCCTGGAAAAAGACACAAGGAAACGATGGTAAGGGACATGAGGGTGACAAATGATTATCTGTCCACTGTTTTTTGTGGAAAGGTAATTAAATAAACCAACAACTACTCGGAATAAAACTTTCACTGACAAAGGCTGTAACTATTACCCACCTTAATTCTCGAGACCCTTGTTGGGATTTGTCCTGGGTTGCAGGAACGTAGGATTTTAAGGTTACTGTGTATGTTTTTTCTCTCTGGATGCATTTTTCTTTTAAAAAAAGATTTTTGTTGCTTAATCCATGTGTTAGAAATTACGGCTAGGACTTTTCCAGGCAGAGTCAGAGGGCAGACTGCCTTAGCTGACTTCTGGGAAAGTGGCAGTAGGTGCTGGGAGCTCACGAGTGCAAAAGCATCATCCTGAAAGTGGGAGGGGAGGAAGCAGCAGATGCGTGCGGTGCTGGGGGGAGGGCGCAGGCAGGTGGGGACCAGCAATGCCTTCAGCTCGGGTTGAGGTTTCTGAATATCACTTAAGACCATTTCTTCTCAAAATATAGTAGTATTGTATAAATTACATTTTAGTCTTACAGGATGAAGTATGTTTTTAAACCAGTGCTAGAAAGGAAGGAGGAGGAGGAGGAATTTTCCTCAGGACTTTTGTATTGCAGGGAAAGATAATGAGGAAGAGCAACGTAGAACAAGGAAATAAATGCAAGTTATGGTCTCCAGGCCAGTGTATGGGAAGGGGTGTTGCTGCAGAGGGATTTGGAGGAGTAAGGAAGGTCGCTATTGCTGCTTAGGAAGTTACTACTCAAAATACCCAGTAAACTAAAAGATTAAACGGTTCAGCCTCAAAATCTTTTTGATAGGTAAACAATATAAACTGGGTGTTCCCTGTGGGGGGAAAAAAAATAGATCTAGGACTCTTAGATGAATCTGATTGTAGATGGAGATGATCTAGGTTCAGAGCAGCTCTGGTTATGTTAATAAACATAACATGAATTTCAATGTTATTTTATGGGGGGGAAATAACTAGCTAAAAAATTAACTAGCTAAATCCTTTAGCTGAGCTAGTATCTAGATGTTGTTAACATTAGGGCAAATCAAGCAAACCTGTGGTAAACTGGATGCTGGTTTTCCTCCAGGAATAGACAGAATTCCATGTGCATCTGTTTCTCATGGTCGCTGGTGAAAATCAAGAGCTGCCATGTCACGTTAGCAAGGCTGTCCTGGGGGACATAGCAGAGCACTATTAAACGGTTTTGATAAGCAGCCATTGCTAAATTGCATGGTAATATCCAGAGGACAGGTTGTATGACTTTGTTGTACCAAGAAGGAGATAAACAGTAAACCTTTTAAAGCATTTTCTGTTTTCGTGTGAGGTTTTTTGTGGTCGTCTTTTTGTAAATTGCAAACTGTAAGTAAAGAACCCGAATGAAGGTGACAAACTTGTATTCAATTGGGACATTCTCCCAAATGTCATCAGGTAAGTTAGCTCACACAGCAGCCTGTATGAAAGCAAAGGCTGTAAATATAAAATAAATGAATTCTTGAAGTTCTGTATTGACAATAAGCCTTTAAGAAAGTGTTACTTTGTTTAGAGAATATAGAGAAACTCCCCTGTTTTTTTTCTCCAAAGGTAAAATGACAGAAAGAAAAAGGAATGGGTGTGGGTTGAAATGTGGCTTTGTCCTCGTTCCCCTTACCAAGGGATGGTCTATTATGAAAAAAAAAAAAAAAGTAAAAATATCCCCATTTCAGGACAGGTTTGAGGAAAGTAGTTTTTAAGACATAGTGTCTTGTGGAGTCAAATCTTAAAAATCTGTTTTTGGTGGTGTTGAAGAAATAAGTCTTCCTTGATGGTCCAGAGCTGAGCTGCCCAAGGCAGAGAGGGTGTCCCTGCAGCTGGGCTGGGCACCCAGCACCCCTCCAGCCTGGGGAGTGAGTTCCGGGGCGGCCTGTCTCCGTCCACCCTGCTGGTGTGTTGCTGCCAGTGTCACACCACAGAAACACCCAGTCTGGGATTCCCCTCCCCCACGCCACTGAGGTACAATATCTTGAGTTGAGAAAAGAGGAAGGAAGCTGAGAGAGAACAGCAGCAAATCTCACAGCACCCTCGCAGCTGCCGGAGCCTGCCCTGCTAGAGCTCGGTGACAGCCGCTGGGAAACCCATCTCGCTTCCAGAGCCTTGGTTTGTTTCCCACCTGGAATCCTGCGTCCCCTGTGTCGTGGTTTCCGGGGTGGTGGGCGTCCTTGGGAGCCTCAGGGACTCATGTGCGATGGCGAGATGGCACAGGACCGACAAGAAGAGCGGTGTGGGTACGTAACCGAGTGAGCTGCCATTTGAGTTTGGGCTTCATAACTTCTCAACAGGATGTGGGCAGGTGTGTTCTCTGGTGTGATGAGCGAACACCCTCCGCTTTACCACGGTGGCTTAATTGAAATGATCCGTTTTGTACAGAGTTTTAATCTTTCATACAGAATAGCAAGAATTAAGGGAGTGTTAGACTGGGAGATGTAACCCTTCTGCCCTACCATACGTGTACCCCTCTCAAATCTTGAGCTCTCACAGTAATGCAGCTTTTCCCACCTCAATATGTTAGAAAACTACAACATAAGTAGCATGTTGTATAATAAGTAGCAGCGAGAAGTTATGGGGAACAAATGTAGGGGAAGGGGAATCCTACAGTTGCTTCTGAGAGACCATCACTTCAAGTTCTGTACTGCTGCTACAGAAAAAACTGAGTTGGTAATAATATTTGGAAGGAAAGTTATCTTCCAACACTTTTACTTAAAATTAACCATGTGATCTTGCATAAAGGATTGAATTTTTTTTTAAAAAAGGAGTCTTAAAATTGGGAATCAAAGCTTGAAGCACTTGAAAGGTGTGCCCTGCTGAAGTTCTCAGTACAGAAGACAGTTAATCTTGCACTGCTTATGTTTTATTTTACCTACTAGTGCATAGCTATTAATCTGGAATTGCAAGAGGCATTTTTTTATTGTAAGGCCATAATATTTTGTGATATGCATTAAAAGCAAAAAAACTCCACCCAACTGGCTTCATGAAATAAAATGAATCATCAAGGAATTAAGAAGAGGACAAGAATGTCTTCCTGTTCAACTTCCATGTGCAGCAGTGGCAGAATTGTGAAATGGAAGTAGCCAGTTCTGGTGGCAGTTTCTATTACAAAACAGAGGGTGTAAATATCTTCTTTACAAAGATATTTACTTCTTCACTTTTACAAATAGTAGGAGCTACTTAATTTTTGCACATTTTTCTGGAAGTTATTGATTTGGGAGAATGTGACTGGGTTGTTTGGAAGTGATCTCTGCATCCCCACACTAGTGAGGGATGTTATCTCGCATACGGGTAGAAGTACTAGATACTAATTAGTCACAGGAATCATATAAATCAAGCTTCACTTGTAGCAGCGTTTTACAGGGACCATTTTGGGTCAGGGTGAGTTTCATGTAATTACAAAACAGGCTCGCTCTCCTTTCACAAGTAATTTTTAACGTTATGGTATCAGGGCCAAATAACCTGGCTTGACATGAAATGTGATAAAGTCTGGTGATCTTTTTTGTTTTTTGCCTGTACCCTGCAGTGGGCAACAGAGCAACCTCCCCTGGCAAGGCCCTGGTTGTGGTCGGTCTGTCGGTTGTTGACCAGCCGGTCTGTGCTGGGCTTTGTGGTCAGGGAAGTCTGGCCAGTCTGTGTCTCACCAGCCAGTCTGTGTCTCACCAGCCAGCACGGCCACCCAGCAGGCAAAGCCCCAGTATGATACAGGAGTCTCTACAGTATTTGAAAGGCAGAGCAAACTATGCATAATAAAAACCACTTTATGAAATACAGTATTTCATAAACTAATCATAATCCAGTGAAGTTTGTTTTCG